AGGCGTATGGGGAGGCAGTAAATACTATTTTAAGCTATTAATTGTATGCTAAAAGCTTCTAAAGCACAAGTGCATATTTTTATACTGCTCTTTTCACAACTTTCTGTGATCTACATAAAGTCAGACTTGAGATTTTCCTTTCTTTTACCAGCCGATCCTTCTTTATGTATTATAAATATCAGACTCCGTAAACAAACTTAGTTTTTCTTTCTCTGTACTTCATGCTGCATTTTTAAAAGGTATAAACAGAGACTGAATTAATTGAATCAGTAGTTACTTTTTTTCCAATACAAATTGGAATGCAGAATACTTGGAACTTGTACATGGGGAAAAAATGACTTATCACTACATAATGTGCCAATGTTTTTTTCTATGTTTTGTACCAAAAATGGAAAAATAGGACAATTCCATGCAAAGAAATGTATCTAAATTATTTTTGTTAGATGATAAGAGAGCTTGCTTGGTCAGGGCAGCAGCCAGCTTTGTATTGTAATGCTATATTATGTCAATGTGATGAAAATGTTTTTGTGAAGTACTTGTAACTAAATTCCTACAGCCATTTTTCATTCCCAGCAGCTGTTTTTATTTTACCTCTTTGGCCTAAACTTTTCATAATTTCAAATTTGGGGTTTAGTGTCCTTTATTTCATGAGTCACACACTTTGTTTTCAGAGCACATTAAAATCAGGAGGCCAGAATCCCACATGAAGGAGCTAGCTAACTAACTTGCCTAGGCTTCAGAAGCTTGCTTGAGGCAAGGACAGTCTTTTTCTGATCATCTCACTATCAGGTCTATGTGGTAAGTAACATTTATCAGCTATCTGGCATCTTCTTACTAAGTGTCATGTCAAGTTTCATGTTAAATTCAAACTTACTAGTAATGAGCAAATGTTTAAAAATGCTTTAAGAGAGCTAGGTACTAAAGGTTCAGCAATTTTTGCTCTTTACCAGTGTAATCTACAGTATAATCTTCTGAGCTGCAAACTAGTATATTCTTCCATGTAGTCAACTTGTTAGAAATACAGGCTTTCAGATGGTATGTGTATCAGATAGTTTATATTATATAAACTATTATAACTGCCTCTTACATGGAGTTGTTTACTTAAACGTCATGTATTGAGGGGGGCTATATTAGGAAAATGCAACTCTAATTATTTCCATGACTACTAAAGAGAAGAAGGAAGCTAGTTATAAAACATTGTTGGACCAGAATGACCCTATAATTTCCTAACATCATTTATTTATTTCTAATTTAAGATTTTAAAATTGACTTGCCCGACGAGTCAGGAGTAGTTAGCCTTCAGGGCAAAAAAGCCCATCGGTTCACTCAGAACCTACTTAGCTTTAGAGAGAGAAAGAGGAGGGATGACCCTGTGCTCTTGTTCTACGTGAATACAGTCAGAGACTGAAGTAACAAACATATTTTTAAATAAAAATAACAAAGCATTTGTACACATTGTAACACTACATAGTGTTACTTCTGCTGTTGCAAGTATCTTAAGTGTTGAAAGCTAAACTTGGGAAATGGAGAAAATGTAATATACATTGATCTATTATTCTAAATTGAAAGTCCAACTTTTAGCAGCAGTCTGCATGCAACTACTGAACACCATCAGATTTGAGTTCCTACCAGAATCTCCCATCATGCTGTTATCCCCTCTCTGACCTTAGAGCATGCATGAAAACAAAAGCAATCTAGCTCCTGGGTTGGAGACTGCCCTCTAGACATAGTCGTTTTTCATGGCAGAAAATTAGAATACAAGGATACCTCATTTTATTGCATTCTGCTTCATTGTGCTTCAAAGATACTGCCTTTTCTACAAATTGAGGGCTCGTGGCCACCCTGCCTAGAGCAACTATTGGCGCATTTTTTCCAACATGGGCTCAGTTTGTGTCTATGTCACATGTTGGTAATTCTCAGAGTATTTATTTCAAACATTTTTATTCTTGTATCTGTCATGGTGGTCTATGATCAGTGATGTTTTTAACTATAATTGTTTTAGGGTACTCCGAACCATGCCCATATAAGACAGTGAACTTAAGTGATAAATGTTGTGTCTATTCTGTCAACCAACTAGCAGTTTCTAATCTCTCCCTCTTCTTGCACCTCCCTATTCACTGAGACACAACTATATTGAAATTTAGCCAATTAATAACCTACACTAGCTTCTACGTGTGCAAGTATAAAAGAAAGAGTCACATGTCTCTCACTTTAAATCAAAAGCTACAGCAAATTAAGCTTATTAAGGAAGGCTTTCAAGGTGCCTTGAAAGCCCAGCCAGGTCAAAAGCCATGCCTCTTACACCAGTTAGCCAGGTTATGCAAAGGAAGACGTCTTGAAAGTGTTACTCCAGTAAACATGCAAATAAGAGTGAAACAGCGGTATTGCTGATATGGAGAAAGTTTGAGTGGTCTATATAAAAGATCAAACCAGTCACAACATTCCCGTAAGCCAAAGCCTAATTATTTGAAGACTGAGAGGTGAGGAACCTACAGCAGAAAAGCTGGAAGCAAGCAGAGGTTGGTTGACGCAGAAGCTAGCTATCTCCATAACATCAAAGTGCAAGGGGTAACAGCTGGCAGTTATCCAGAAGGTGACTACACCAAACTACTGAGTTTGTGAAGATGAAATGGCCTTCTCTTAGAAGATGTCATCTAGGACTTTCATAGAGAGGAGAAATTCAATGCCTGCAAATGTAGCTGGTGCCTGTAAGCTGAAGTCAGCGTTTATTTACCAGTCTAAAAACCTTAAGGACCTTAAGAATTGTTAAATCTACTCTGCCCATGCTCTAGAAGTGGAACAACAAAGCCTGTATGACAGCACATCTATTTATAGCATGGTTTATTGAATATTTTAAGCCTATGGTTAAGACCTACTACTGTACTCAAATTTCTTTACAAATATTGCTCATTGACAATGTACCTGGTCATCTAAGAGCTCTGATGGATGTACAAGGAGGTTCATGTTTTCTTGCCTGCTACCACAACATCCAACATTCTATATAGTCCATTGGTCAAGGAGTCACTTGACTTTTAAGTCTAATTTAAGAAATACATTTCATAAAGCTGTAGCTGCCATAACTAGTGATTCCTCTGATGGGTCTGGGCAAAGTCAACTTGAAAACCTTCTGGGAAGGATTTAACATTCTAGACACCACTAAGAACATTCTGATTCACGGGAGGTGGTCAAAATTTCAATATTAAAAGGAATCTGAAAGAAGGGGGAGCTTGAAGATGTGACTGAAATGCTGTAATCTCATGAGCAAACTTCGATAGATGAGAAGTTGCTTAAGAACGTGTAAAGAAAGTGGTTTCTGGAGACAGTCATTCCATAGTGAAAATGCTGTAAACAGAGTTGAAATGACAACAAAGGATTTAGAATATTCCAAAAACTTAGTTGATAAAGCAGCATCAGGGTTTTAGATGACACACTCTAATTTTGAAAAAGTTCTACTGTGGGTAAAATGCTACTAAATAGTATTACATGTTACAGAGATATCTTTTGTCAAAGGAAGTCAATTGATGTGGAAAATTTGATCACTGTCTTATTTAAAGGAAATGCCACAGCCACCCCAACCTTCAGCAACCATTAGCAAAGAGTATGACTCACCGCAGGCTCAGATGATTGTTAGCATTTTTTAGCAATAAAATATTCTTAAAGTATGTACATTTTTTAGAAATGTAAGACTACAGTATAAACATAATTTTAATAGACACTGGGAAACCAAAAACTAGATGTGACTCAATCTATTGCAATACTTGCTTTTTTGATGTGGTCTGACACTTAACCTGTAATATCTCCAAGGTATGCTTGTATAATGATAGAAGGAATTTGCTGTGGTACTATATTACCGTTTGCTTCCAAAATTCATGTGTTTTTTACCACTCCATTTAAATAGATTACTATCATAAAATACTAATCCAGAACAGTCTAGGAAGTAAAACAGTTAAAAATGTATGATCCTGTTGTATCATACAATTTTAAAAAACCACTTTACAAATATATGGGCTAATATAGAATTCCTAAAGAAAAAAAGCACGCAGTAATGGCAGAAAGTCTTCTGTGATGGAGGTAGCTTAGTGATTTCTCCATAGAACTTTTCATGACTAAATGTTCTTTGGATTTAAAGTAGTCATATAACCCTTTCTCTCATTCAGTCTTCAATTCCTGCTTGGTGACACTGGGCACTACAGAGCTCATTTTAAGGCCTGACCATAGTGGGCCTCACGTTCCTCATTTATAACATCATGCCATGGGTCTACCTAGATGATCTTAACTCTTCCGGTCACTGACTGTAGGTGGGTGTGGAAGCAACTGTCAAAGCTAAAACTAGTAAAAAGAACTTTTATAAAGATTCCTTGTAGGATGTATTTGTATAATGAACAAGTAAATCTGTAGAAGGTTTTCTGGAAGAATAGTCCATTAACATCAGTAACACTGCCCTTTCTTTAATCAGTAGTTTAAGAATTTCAATCTTTGATGTGTAGACTACTTTCTAACTTTATTTTTTAGCACCAAAAGGAGAAAACATACTGTTACAAGGCTGGTTATAGTGTCTCGATGGACACTGCAAACAACTACAGAAAGGAAGCCTGTCTCAAGCAGTTCGTGAGTCAGGACACAGGTGTGCTCAGCTGCAGTCTCTGACTGTGCCTCTCAAATGACCTAGAGCTCATCCTTGGCATACAGGAGGGGCAGTTGTTGTTCTAGTATCAATCTAGCCCATGGCTGTTCAAGCCAGTTCACAATGGGGGAAAATATACGCTCATAAGATTCCTATCCATTTAGGTGCATATGGGTTTTGGTAGGTGTAACTAAAAACCCTTTGTTAAATTATCTAAACAAATTGGTACCAAAAAAAAACTTGTAGTACTTAAACAGTATAGGTGGTTCATTTTTTTGGCAGAGGGATTCAAGTTTGTGCTATAGAAGACTAATGTTACTAAAGACCAGAAAAATCTGCAGGAGAAAGGCTATTTTTAAACTCATCACAAGAATACTAAAGGAACCCAAATAATAAAACTTTTAATAAATGCCACAACTATACTGTTACCTCTATTTGTACCTTTCACAAGGGTCTAGGTTCAAAATAAGCTCAAAACACAGCACTCACCACTTCAACAGCAGATCAAAGTCAGATGGAAAACTTGTGGCATATTCTTTGGAGGATGTACTAGGACCTGAGAAGCAACATGTTCCTGGTTGGTAGGTCCTCAAAAAAGTTAAACGTAGAATTTTATGGACAAAATTTACAAATTTAAATGATAAATATGTTAATGGTTTTCAGAGTAGTACCTATATTTGATGTACAAGGTTCATGCATGTGTACTTTTAATTCCTTAGAGAGCAAGGTATAAGTCACCATTCTCCTCTAATTTTTGAAATAATCTTAAACTGCGCAATCCAGATTCTCGCTCTCCATCTTTCCACAAAATAATGAGATGATCAGCAGAGCATGTCACCAGTCCATGATCTTCAAAGTATAGAAACACCTGAAAAGAAAATTAAAACGGATGATAGGGGCCTCGAGAAGCAGCTAACACCACATTAACACATGTGCACGTGAGATACGCGCCTTAGAGACTCCTTTGGATCTGCGTGTAAAACTTTGTTTTTCAGTATTAGTAACAGTCACATACAAATAATATCTAATATTTTAATCAGAATTTTAATATCGTTCAAATAGAGAATAGCTACTTTGTAAAGTACACAAATTCCCATAGTTCTTCCAGATTTTACCATACTCTGATTTTTGAAGTATTGGTTTTTAACCATTGTTTATGTACAAGGGCTATAGATAAACTGTCTGAATTCTCAATTTCCCAAGATAGACACTGGCTTCAGCTCTCTCCATAAAAGTAGATAGTCAGTCCATAGCTATTGTCAGCACTAGGTTTATGGTCCCTACCCTCAAGAAGATTCTGAAAAGCAAATTGTAACTGAAACAAAGGTACCAATGAAAGATTATGTAATCAGGTACTAAATAATGCAGTACAGACTATGACATACCACAGATATTCAGAAAAAGCTTCAACGTGAGAAAACTCCCCAAGAAGGGGAAGGGGCTTGACTAGTGAAGGAGTAGGTTGGAAGCTAAGAATAGTAAAATAGAGTGTTGACAAAAAGGCAGCACGAATGCTATAGCATGAAGGATTGTATGAGAGAAAAGATGAACCCATGAAAAAAGGATGAGGTGCTTGAAGGAAAGGGTGAAATAAATTTAAAAAAACAGGGTGTTGTGCCTCACGACTATAATCTCAACGCTGGGAGGCTGAGGCAGGCAAATCACCTGAGGTCAGGAGTTTGAGACCAGCCTGGCCAAGACGGTGAAACCCCATTTCTACTAAAAATACAAAAAAATTAGCTGAGCGTAGTTGTGGGCGCCTGTAACCCCAGCTACTTGGGAGGCTGAGGTTGCAGTGAGCTGAGATCATGCCACTGCACTTCAGCCTGGGTAGTAAGAGCACAATTCATCTCAGGGAAAAAAAAACAAAAAATGAGGGTTTTCTCTGAAATGACATACATTTCTGAAGACCATGGGAGAGCACTTTGCTGAGGATGCAAGAGTAAAGGGAGGAAATATGGCAGCAGAATTCCTTGGGAAACTGGAAAACAAGAATTCGGTACACAGGTAGAGAGGTTGAGCAAGGATGAAAACAGAAAAGAGGATCAGCCTGGCCAAGATGGTGAAACCCCATCTCTGCTAAAAATATAAAAATTAGCTGGGCCCGCACCTGTAATCCCAGCTACCCAGGAGACTGAGGCAGGAGAATCGCTTAAACCCAGGAGATGGAAGGTGCAGTGAGCCAAGATTATGTCACTGCACTCCAGCCTGGGCAATAGTGAGATTCTGTCTTGGAAAGGTTTAAAAAAAAAAAAAAAGCAAAAACAACAAGAAATGAGGAAATTCAGCTGACAATGTAGAGATAGCCTAGATTTTATCAATGAAGCCAGAGATGCTTTTTAAAAATGTTCAGGGGTCAACACCTTTACTCAGGAAAATTCCTAAGAAGCTGATACTTTTATATAATGAGAAATGTGCCACATTCAAATACATTTTGAATGTGTTTTAGATTGGGTTTTCCCAACCATCTAAAAACCTTTTATATGAGTTTCTATTATTTATAAAATAAAGTCCAAACTCCTCAGCCTTACATTCAAGGACATTCATAATATGACCCCAAACCACTGTTCCAGGCCTCATCTCCTACTAGTGTTTGTTCACAGGAACCCAGCGCTCCAGCCTAAAGGTGCTCCTTGCCTTTTGTCTACCATACTCCATGCTCCCCAGCCCTAAAATATGGTATAGCCACCCAATCAGAAACAAAAAAAGTTATGAGCTACTTGTTAGAGAAAAGCAAAGATAACTATGAACCTGTACCCAACATCAAGGAGCTTCTGGTAACAAGGCTATATACTCATTCTACTAAACTTCAAGGTTCATCTCAAGTATCAAGTCCCTTATCTTCTAACCGTTTGCAAGATTCAGCAAGAAATGTTTTTTCTAACCCCTGAGTATTCACTCTCTGCTGCTTACCCAGGTCCATCATATGCAGCCTAGGGAAACAGCCTACTGGGTCTATACCCCTTCTCTCCACTCAAGGGTAAGATCCATAAAGGCAAGGATGTATTTCTCTCTCTCTGTAAACTTCAGCAGCCAGTGTTTAGCACAGTGCCTGAAATACAGGAAATGCTCACTAATAAGCATGCTGCTGCTGCTCCCCCTAAGCATGAACACCCTTTCAAATGAAAAGAAATGTGTTGTTCTTTGGATACAGGGAAGAACAATTGAAGAAATTCATTACTTAGGGCCCTGCTTATGATATTATCACTACACTGTTATTCTCACAACTAATCTGTTATCTCAACTGATCTTATTCCTTCACTATAGGCAATGGTGCCTGTAGCAAAATTAATGTATTTAGATTTCTATAAGTTAGAAGCTTATGCATTTTATAATTTTCAACTAAAATTTTCATATTTGCACAATGAAAACCAAGGCACAAGATTTCATTAAAGCTAATTATTATCCTTCAAAGGCAAGTAGAAGCATGACTCTGTTCATGAATTTGACAAAGGCCCTGGAATTCAGTTCTGTTAAGGCTTTCACTGTACACATACAACCGCAAGCCTTCATGCACCCTCTGCTGACTGCTGCCATACAGTCAACATTATTCACACTACCCTTATTGTCAGCTATCTCCAGGTTATAAATTACGGTGATTAAGCCCATTCTTAAAAGCAATGCATTATTTGTTTCCTCAAATCATATCTCTGGAAAGGGAGATCCTAACTGCACATACCATAGCCTATCCCATTCCATGTTCAGATCTGACAAAAAACCTACAGATACAAGAAAAAGTATATGCCTTTATGAGACCTACTGAATGAAAAGAGCAATGAAATGCAAAAGCACGAGTTGCCTGGACAATCTATGCCTAAAAAGCAATACCTCCACAGATGATGAGTGTCCAATCAAATCTCCAATAAGCTCCAGTGAACATGAAGTAGCATTTTCTTGCTGCTTTTTAACAGGTTGGCTGGCTTGTTTGTTGACTCTTCCGAATCCCCACATGTTAAAAAAACCTAGAAAAATAATCATTTCCAAAATTACTGTGCTGTATACTTACAATAATAATATGACATCAGAAAAACAGAATTTAAATGTGAAGAGGTTCCAGACTTATTTTAGTCAAGGGCTAAGTGGACCATACTGAGCCTTGTGCTAGGGTTTTCTGAATGTGTTATTTCATCTTTCTTAGCTAACCAGGTATGTTCCTCATCTCTCTTTATTGCCCCTAGTCACCCACCCATTGGTGAAGGTATATTAACAAAAAGACAGACACCTGGAATAAAACAGGACAGAAGCATAAAGCTTGAATGGCACTGTCTGTCAAAGGAAAAAAGGGCAAAACTCCGAAAAGTATGTATATGTGCAAAAGCAACACCCCAGGGCTTCAGAAAGTCAAAAGAAACAGAAGCAACTAGGTACCAGCATCTGATTTCTTGTGCAAAGGTTTGTAACTAATTTATTCAACCCTTCAGAGTTTTATTTTTCAAACTAAACACCTGAAAGTCAAGAGCTCATGAAATTATGATATAAGCACACAAAGAAAAGTGTATTTTTCCATAAATTGAGTTCAACATCAAGGGTAAAGAACATTTTAGTTTGACATCTGATGGTACAAATTTTGTGTATCAGTTAGAATTATAGACAATATAAATTAATACTTACTTCATTAGGCCATCTGGTCATTCAGATGACCAGAAAATAAGTTTTCCCTCAAAACAATAAATGCTTTATCTTACTTGAAATGAAGAGGCAGTTCTACATTAGGGCGGCATTAAGCTGTAAATCCTAGATCTCAATTACCATATGCTCTCCATAAACATCTGATGCCTATCTAGAGCACTTCTATATTATTCTAGTGGTTTCACATAATCGCCCTTCTGCCTTTCACATGGAAAAAAAAAAAAAAAAGGAGAGAAAAAGACTACCTTTTTGAGAGAAGACACACACCTGTTGGTACAGGCTCAGCTGCAAGCTGCTGTTTTTCTCGTAACTCCCAAATGCGTACACTGCCATCTTCTGAGCATGAGATTAACTGCCTGTCAGAACAGAAAATCAGTAATACAAAGACAGGGAGTGCACCACTGAGGACCAATGCTAAATTTGCAGTGAAAGAAATCAGTGGAGCCCTCAACTGCTTTTATTCAGCTCTTAGCAGGAACTGACAAAAATCACAATTTAACATGACATTACAATGCAAACTAAAAGCACCCTTTAGGAAAGCCACACATTATACTATGTTACATTGGCTCAAATGCTATAAATTTATTCTCTCCCTTTAAAAAAATGCACTTGGGAAAATAGTATGAATTATACTTCACAATGTCCTAAGCAGCCCCCTTCCCTCCTCAGGTTACCTCTCTTCTGTGGATGCCTCTCACTCTAAAAATATCCTGCATAGAAAATAACGATGTTCCCTGTCCATAAGTTTGTCCCTAGAAGCTCAGCAGCAAATCTACCCTGAGAGGAAACCCCTCACTTAGTAGCCTTACACAACAAGGACACTACCAACCATTTCATTCTGACCAAAAGCAAACAAAAAGAAAGTAAGTTTATGAGAAATATAAAAATTGGTACACTGTAAGTGGCCCCCAAGTAGTTTACGTCGTTAAATACCAAATTTTAAATCATCTCATCTTACAATGAAATTCAATGTAATTCATTTGAACCTTGCTTCTTGTAATTTCTGTAAAATACTACCACATGCCCTTCTGTTAGAGACAGCCCTCAGGCATTCTCCATTTCCAAAAGAACACAGCAGGTCAAGCCATTAAGCCAGGTAACTTGGCCACTTGAGAAATGACACGGGTAGCCCTGGGAACTGTGACTTGCTTTCATCTATTGCAGAACAGATGGGAACTCATACCTGTTTGGAAGTTTGGCAATGTGCAGGACATTGGAGTCATGTGCAGTTTTCTGGCAGGCAATCACACGCTTCATTTGAAGGTTATACACGTATAAACCCCTTCCAACTGCAGCAAATACATTCTGGGGGAAGAAGTTCAGAAATGGGCATAAAACTAGCACTCATCCTACCCAGGGTAATGAATTTCCAGCCCTGATGTGACATCAGAAAGTCCCTGTTACCTTCCCTAGCCTTTAGCCCAAATTAAAGTACCAATCTCTGAAACCCAAAAATGTCAAAGCACTAAAGAAAGCTCTGAGCATTTAGAAGGTAGGACACAACGACTAATGCAGAGAAAGGTCTGCATAGTATATACCTTACCTCTACTTTCTTTCTCACTGAAATATATCTGGAAAAAAGCTCTAGCTGGCAGCCTGGCCTTGCAGTGGAAGCTGTTGAGGGATAACCTGAGTTTTCATTTAAATAACACTATATCCTTGGGAAAATTACCTAGCTGCTTCTGCCTGGAAAATGCAAGCAAAATTACTTACACTCCACATCTTAAGCAATCAGGAGACCTACGAGTGATATAAAAAAAATCACAGCTATAGTGACATTATCATCATGCAATCCTCTGAAGGTTTCACAAAAACATTTTTCCAAAAGTATTATTAGAAATAAATACCTTTTTACTAAAACAACTTTAATTTTTTGAAAGCATTTCCACCAATACTTTATCTCACTTCAGCCTCACAACATCTTGTTAAGAGCGGCAAGCATTATTGCCATTTTCCAGATAAGGAAGTTAAAGAGATTAGAGGCACACAAGAAATGAGACTGAGACATGGAGTCAATATGAGAAACAAGGTCATGTTACTCCAGTCCCTTGCTTGTTCCTCATGTGACACTCACATGCAGTAGCCTTTGAAATTTTTGCAAGCACTTGTCCAAGAATCATCCATTCTTATTTAATAGCTATCCCTTTGAGGCAGACCTTTCAAATATCCCTACATAATGCCTTCTGGTTTCACCAGGGATTCTGGGCCCTCCACTTGTTCTCACACAGCCTCCAAGACTACAAACTGAACTGAGACCTGTAATAACTGAACCAAAGCATGCCCCCAAGGCTTGCTGGAATCTAAAATCTGGAATGATCCCCTGACTCTCAGGATTAGTATTCTGCCATCAGCAATGCAGCTGAGGCCCAGTACTGGGACATTAATGAACACTGCTAGTCAAGATGCTAAAATGGAAAGCCCTATGGATTGTTTAATGCCAAAATCCCCTGGTTCTATAGACCAGGAAATCTGGGCACAGTTTAAGTAATTTATCCAAGGTCAGGAAGAAAATTATAAACACAACTAGAGAACTGATAAGCTTTGGAGGCAGCATTTACTCAACAGAGACACTATCAATCACCTGTCATCAATAACTGTACCCTATAGAAGGAAAGAAGGAAAATCAAGGAAAACTATATAATGCTTTATCAAGCATGTATAGTAGAAAATAAATATCAATAAAAAAATTTAAGATTAAAAGAGATACAAAACAAAAAACTTTTAAATATTAATTTTTACAAAAGTGAGCAAAAAACATGTAACATTTAAAATATATAATTTGTAGGGCTACAACTCTTAGTGATCTAGTCTCCATCTTTTCTGAGACCACACCATTTTTATCATGTATTAACTTTTTTCAAAATAAAGTTGAGATACAAAAAAAAACAATCTTTGAATATATTAGTGTTTTTAAATCCTGTTCCTATACTAATCTTTTGTTTTTTGTTTTGTTTTCAGAGTAGTACAAAGAAAATGGATCATATTCTCCCCCACCACAGAACACTACTACTGAAATTTTTAATATAATATGCATGCTGTTAGAAACTTCAAACAGTATAAAAAGTCACAAAGTAGGGAGAGAAAAGCCTCCCCAACTCCTTTTCCTCGAAGGGTACAACTCTTAAACATTTCTTGTGATTACATTTAGAAAAGTTAATTGCCCTTTAAACACATTTTCTGAGCCCCTGATGCTTAGAGATTTGTTTTCAGATCAGAGATAAGATTACATCGCACATACATTGTCCATCAGACATAGCACATTTCAGTCGAGAAATTTCTCACCAACATGGATATCCACTACTAAGTAAAGAAGTAATCCACTGGTACTAATCTTTTACAGCAAAAAGGATGTAAAGTGCTTCAAGAGCATCACTGCCAAGCCCTAAAGGATGGAAATCAACAATTCTCAATTTATCTTGCTCCAAGATGCCAGCAGACTAACAGAAACATTCTTAAAATTTTAAATTTCATTTACTTCACTAGGAAATGCATCAGATCTTCAAAAGAATTTTTCACAGTGTTCCTTAAAACAATTGTAAGCATTAAATCTCAAATCCAATGGGACTATTTAATCCAACCCAAAATTTCAATAGAGTTTTAAAATCTATAGCCATTTAATCATTCCCTTGCCTCAAGATTAGAAGCAAAGGTTAAAATGCTTTTTTTAACAGGTCATACCATTTTAGAAAAAAATCAGACCATTATAAAGCACAACCTGAAACCATGAATAATAGATACCTTTTCTATGTCAAACATGGAATTAAATTTTTAAATTTTTAAAATCAGAAATTCGGTTTATTTAAAAGGCAAGTTTATAGATAGTGTCTAGATTTTTTACCTCTTCGTCACATGTGAAATGATGAATAGAAATGTCATTTGATTTCTGACAGAGTTTTATTTCCTGTTGGGTGTCCAGTTGTGGAGATGGATCCCAGAAGTTGCGTTCGTAGGCCTGCACGGTCCAGTCCAGGGCATCCCAGATGATCAGCTCTCCAATGTGGGAGCCAGTGACAAAACTCAAATCTAGGCAAAGTTCACATATGCCTCATTATCAATCATTTTATCTAGGTAAAGGTAAAACTGAATGGAATGTCTAGTAGAAATGCCCTATAAAACCACAGTACTTACGGCAGTGAGTTACCTAGGCAAGCCAAAAGAACGATGAATATAACAGAACAAGAAGTCCAGAAATAGACTCAAATTATCTTAGTAATTCAGTATGTAATAATGATTGCATTTCATTTCAGTAAAGAAATACCTCACACTGGAGTATCTGGTTACATTTATGGGGAATAAAAGTAAAAGAACCTTATCTTGGATCATACACCAAAATAAGTTTCAAATAGGTTAAAACATTTAAGGTACTTAAAGGATAGAAAAAAATACAGGTGAACCCTTTTATGAATGTGGAGTGGTAAAAGGCTTTAACAGAAGCAGAGTGGGGTCTGAGGGGAAGAGATCCTAGTAAATAGCTGCTTGGCAAAACAAAAACAAAAACAAGGGCTGGGCACAGTGGCTCAAGCCTGTAATATTAGCACTTTGGGAGGCCGAGGCGGGTGGATTGAGACCAGCCTGATGAATATGGTAAAACTCTGTCTCTACTAAAAATACAAAAATTAGCCAGGTGTGGTGGTATGCGCCTTAGTCCCAGCTACTGGGAAGGCTGAGACAGGAGAACTGCTTGAACTGGGGAGGCAGAGGCTGCAGTGAGTCGAGATCACACCACTGCACACTCCGGCCTGGGTGACAAAGCAAGGCTCTGTCTTAAAAAAACATACACAAAAAATACACTTAAATGACAAAAAGCTGGGAAAAATCTGCAACTTGGATGACAACGTTGGTTTAATATACTTGATACAAAAGGAGTTCTTGCAAATTATTAAGAACAAGATAAATAAAGCAGAAAAAATGGGAAAAGGATCTGAAAAGGCAAAACAAATACAAATGGTCAGTAAACATGTGGAAAGATGCTCAACTCCTTTAATAATCAAAGAAATCTAAAAACAGGAGATACCATGTATTGACTTGTGAATCGGGAAATATTACAAATCTGGAAAAAAACCAACACAGTATTCACAAAAGCTTAAGAAATCAGAACACGTATCGCCTAATGCCCTACTATAAATTGGTATTGTTTTTTTCAAAGATTAATTTGCTAACATGTATCAAAACCTTAAAAATGTAAATCTCTTGATTCAACAATTCTAATTCTAGGAATTTATCCTGAAGGAAATACATAAATGTACAAGGTTGTTACATACATACATACATACATATATATATATATATATATAAAAATATATACAATCTTAAAAATCTGAAGATAACTACACATCGAATTGAGAACTGAATAAGATATCAACAAAATGAAACAGTAATGCTATTAAAAATTAAGTTATAGGGGGATCCCAAGATGGCCGAATAAGAGGCAGCACTGGAAAGCAGCTCCCAGAGAGAGAGAGAGAAGCAGAAGCCGAGTGGTCTCCACAATTCCAAACGAGGTACCAGGTTCATTTTGTGGGTTTGGTTGGACAGTGGGTATAAACCAAATAGGGCAAGTTGAGGCAAGGCAGGGCACTGCCCCACCCAGGTTCCATCCAGAGGACCAGGGTATCTCCCCCTCTGGGACTTTGGTTTGGACACAGTGTTCCACCCAAGACCCCTACAACCCACAGAACAGGAGATCTTCACTGGGCTGAAAGGTCTCAGCGAATGCCTGAACAGGGCAGAACAGCAACTTCTGCCGGAGCCGGGGCAGTCAGCATAGATCTAGGCGGAAGCACTGGCTGATCTGAAAGCCAAAAAGTCAGCTGGATGGATCTACCCTCCCCACAGTGGGAAGGGGAACTGAAAACAGGGAAACAGCCCATACAGCAGGACGGGTGCCTCCCACCGCAAAAAGCCCAGCAGACTTAAAAAAAAAAAAAAAAAACCTCTTAAACCAGAGTTCCGCTCCTAGAGAGTGACCAGGAACGGTCAAGCTCGGTATGGGGAAGGGTGGCCACCATTGCAGAAGCCAGCCTAACTTTCCTGAGTAAATAAAAGATGCAGCAGCTCCACTGAACCTGTGGCAGCCTAGCAGCCCCTCTGCAGGTAAAGAAAAGGCCACCTCCTCAAGCAGCTACCTGAGATCAAAACTATATAAATCCAATGAGATGGGAAAAAAACAATGCAAGAAGAATGAAACCGTCAAAAACCATAACGCCTCTCCCCCACCAGGAAATCACAACTCCTCACCAGCAAGGGAACAAAGCTGGATGGAGAACGAATTTGACGAATTGACAGAAGCAGGCTTCAGAAGGTGGGTAATAACAAACTTTTCTGAGTTAAAGGAACATGTTCTAACCCAATGCAAAGAATCTAAAAACCTTGAAAAAAGGTTAGATGAAAGCTAACTAGAATAACCAGCTTAGAGAATGACATAAACGACTTGATGGAGCTGAAGAACACAGCACAAGAACTCTGTGAGGTATACACAAGTTTCAATAGCTGAATAGATCAAGCAGAAGAAAGGATATCAGAGATTGAAGATCAACTCAATGAAACAAAACGAGAAGGCAAGAAAAGAGAACAAAGAATGAAAAGAAATGAACAAAGCTTTCAAGAAATATGGGATTATGTGAAAAGACCTAATCTACACTTGATCGGTGTACCAAAAGATGACAGGGAGAATGAATCCAAGCTGGAAAACACTCTTCAGTATATTATCCAGGAGAACTTCCCCAACCTTGCAAAGCAGGCCAACATTCTAATACAGGAAATACAGAGAACACCACAACGATACTCCTGTAGAAGAGCAACCCCAAGGCACATAATCGTCAGATTCACCAGGGTTGAAACGAAGGAAAAAATACTAAGGACAGCCAGAGAAAAAGGTTGGGTCACCCACAAGGGAAGCACATCAGAGTCACAGTGGATCTCTCAGCAGAAACCCTTCAAGCCAGAAGAGAGTGGGGACCAATATTCAACATCCTTAAAGAAAAGAACTTTCAACCCAGAATTTCACATCCAGCCAAACTAAGCTGCATAAGTTATGGAGAAAAATCCTTTACAGACAAGCAATTGCTGAGAGATTCTGTCACTACCAGACCTGCCCTACAAGAGCTCCTGAGGGAAGCACTAAACACAGAAAGGAAAAAGCAGTACCAGCCACTGCAAAAAAGAACCAAATGGTAAAGACCAACAATGAAGAAAATTTGCCAACCAAAGGGCAAAACAACCAACCAGTAGTAAAATGGGAGAATCAAATTCACACATAAAAACATTAACATTAAATGTGAATGGAACTAAATGCCCCAATCAAAAGACACAGACTGGCAAATTGGATAAAAAGCCAAGAACCATCAATGTGCTGTATTCAGGAGACCCATCTCACGTGCAAAGACACACACAGACTCAAAATAAAGGGATGGAAGAAGATTTGCCAAGCAAATGGAGAGCAAAAAAAAGTGGGGGTGACAATCCTAGTCTCTGATAAAATGGGCTTTAAACAAAAAACAAAAGAGACAAACAAGGGCATTACATAATGGTAAAAGTATCAATACAACAAGAACTAACTATCCTAAATATATATTCACCCAACACAGGAGCACCCAGACATATAAAGCAAGTCCTTAATGACCTACAAAGAGACTTAGACTCCCGCACAATAATAGTGGGAGATCTTCACACTCCACTGTCAATATTAGACAGACCAACGAGACAGAAAATCAACAAGGAAACCCAGGACTTGAACACAGATCTGAACCAAGTAAACTTAATAGACATTTATAGAACTCTGAACCCCAAATCCACAGAATATACATTCTTCTCAGCACCACATCACATTTACTCTAAAATCGACCACATAATTGGAAGTAAATCACTCCTCAGCAAATGCAAAAGAATGGAAATCATAACAAACAGTCTCTCAGACCACAGTGCAATCAAATTAGAACTCAGGATTAAGAAACTCACCCAAAACTGCACAATTACATGGAAACTGAACAACTGGCTCCTGAATGTCAACTATATAAACAATGAAATGAAGCCAGAAATAAAGATGTTCTTTGAAACCAATGAGAACCAAGACACAACATACCAGAATCTCTGGGACACATTTAAACCACTGTCTAGAGGGAAATTCATAGCAATAAATGCCCACATGAAGAGCAAGGAAAGGTCTAAAATTGACACCCTGTCATCAAAATTGAAAGAGTTAGAGGAGCAAGACAAAAAAAAAAAAACTCAAAAGCTAGCAGAAGACAAGAAATAACTAAGATGAGAGCAGAACTGAAGGAGACAGAGACACAAAAAACCCTTCAAAAAAATCAACAAATCCAGGAGCTGGTTTTTTGAAAAGATCAACAAAATACATAGATGGCTAGCCAGACTAATAAAAAAGATAAGAGAGAAGAATCAAATAGATGCAATAAAAAATGATAACGGGGACATCACTACTGATTCCACAAAAATACAAACTACCATCAGAGATTACTAGAAACAACTCTATGCACACAAACCAGTAAATCTGGAAGAAATGAATAAATTTCTGGATACTTGCACTCTCCCACAACTAAATCAGGAAGAAGTTGAAACCCTGAAAAGACCAATAACAAGGGCTGAAGTTGAAGCAGCAATTAATAGCCTACCAACTAAGAAAAGCCCAGGTCCAGATGGGTTTACAGCTGAATTCTATCAGATGCACAAACAGGAGCTGGTACCATTCCTTCTGAAATTATTTCAAACAATACAAAAAGAGGGAGTCCTCCCCAACTCATGTTATGAGACCAACATCGTCCTAATACCAAAACCAGGCAGAGATGCAACTAAAAAAGAAAACTTCAGGCCCAAATCCATGATGAACATTGATGCAAAAATCTTCAATAAAATACTGGCAAACAGAATGCAACAGCAAACCAAAAGCTTATTCATCATGAGCAAGTAGGCTTCATCATGGGGATACAAGGCTGGTTCAACATACGCAAGTCTATAAACGTAATCCACCACATAAACAGAACCAAAGACAAAAACCACATTATTAT